CCTTCTCCCAATCCCGGACTTACGTAATCCTCGAACTTGGTGATCTCCTCCTCCAGGATGTCCGTTCCCACTTTTTCGTCCTCCACCACGCACTGGATCTGCAGTTTCCTGATTCCGTATCCCACCGGGACGAGCTTGGAAGCTCCCCAGAGCAGCCCGTCCATGCGGATGGAACGGACACATTCCTCCAGCTTGGCCATGTCCGTCTCGTCGTCCCACTGGGAAAAGAGGCGGGAAAAGCGGGAAGTTCAAGTGTTTTCCCGGGATTCGGCAGCGATCCTCTTTTTTCCTTGATTTCCTGCCCTTTTTCTGTAGGATCTTCCCTTTTTCCTTTACACCAGGACACCTCTTGGGATCATCCAGCTGATCCAAAGAGCCCTTTCCCGGCTGGTTTCACCGGAGTTTGGAAAAGGGAAGGATCCAGGGAGAGCTGGGAGCAGCTTCCGGTGTCCAAAGGGGCTCCCAGAGAGCCGGAGAGGGAGTGGGGATAAGGGATGGAGGGACGGGACACAGGGAATGGATTCCCAGTGCCAGAGGGTTAGATGGGATATTGGGAAGGAATGGGATACTGGAAGGAGTGGGATACTGGGAAGGAATGGGATATTGGGAAGAAATGGGATACTGGAAGGAATGGGATACTGGAAGGAATGGGATATTGGAATAAATGGGATATTGGGAAGGAATGGGATACTGGAAGGAATGGGATACTGGAAGGAATGGGATAGTGGAAGGAATGGGATATTGGAAGGAATGGGAGATTGGGAGGGAATAGGATACTGGGAAGGAATGGGATATTGGAATGGGATATTGGGAAGGAATGGGATATTGGGAAAGAATGGGATACTGGAAGGAATGGGATACTGGGAAGGAATGGGATATTGGGATAAATGGGATAATGGGAAGGAATTCTTCCCGGGAGGGTGAGGAGGGACTGGGATGGAATTCCCAGAGAAGCTGTGGCTGCCCCATCCCTGGAAGTGTCCAAGGTCAGGTTGGAGCAACCTTGGGATAGCGGGAGGTGTCCCTGCCCATGGAAGGGGATGGAATTCCATGATCCTTAAGGTCCCTTCCCACCCCAAAGCATCCCAGGATTCTGCAGCGCGAAGGCGACGCATCCCGGCGGGAACATCCCGGCAGGAACATCCCGACGGGAACATCCCGCCCGGTTCCAAGGTTTGGAATTCCACAGGTCCTCCCAGCGTTCCTCTCGGAGGAAGAGGAAAGGAGAAGATTCCCAACCTCGCCCCGGAGCTCCCAAATTCCCGTCACTCACCGGCTTCACATCCAGGAGGATGGAGGACTTGGCGACGATTCCCGGTTTCTTGGCCTTCTTTTCCGCGTACTGCCGGAGCCGCTCTTCCCGAACTTTGGCGGCTTCCCGGTCTTCCTCTTCGTCGTCGCTCCCGAAAAGGTCGATGTCGTCGTCCTCCTCATCCTCCTCGGCCGCCGCCGGCTCCGGTTTCTTGGCCGGGAGCTCCACTTTTTTGGAGGGAACGCTGAAAGGTTCCACTTTCTGTGGAGGGGGAGGGAAAACGGGAGAAGGGGAAGGAAAAAGGGAGAAGGGGAAGGGAAAAAAAAGGGAGAAGGGGAAGGGAAAAGGGGGAGAAGGGGAAGGGAGAAAATTAAAGGGAAAAGGGGA